GGCTCACTGATGTACAATATGATCGGTCATTTTAACAAGTGTAAACAAGTTAGTTATTATGAGTATGGAAAATATCTTTTCCTGCATTTATTCTGCTTCCACCCCCCCCCCCCCTTTATTTTGGTCTAAATTCCTTCGTATGCTTTTTAGTCTGATGGCATTTTGTCCAATGCTGTTTCAAACAATACTTTTTAAACTAATTCTATCCAAAGCCTTAAGCCTGTTAAACAACAAACCAGTGTCAAAAAACTAGTCATGATCAAAATTGTCTGTGTTGTCCTTTTGTTTTGGCTGTGGCTGGTCCTATCTGAAAAAAAAAAAAGCGCTATAGCACATGTCATTGAACTTCTGAAACCAGAGCACCCGGAGGAAACCCACGCGAACACGGGGAGAACAAACTCGACACAGAAATGCCAACTGACCCAGCCTAGGCTGGAACCAGCGTCCTTGCTTTGAGGCGACAGCGCAACCCACTGTGCCACCGTGTTGCCCCTTGATAATCCATATAGTTTGCAAATATTTTGGAAATGTGACAAAAGAATAGCTAGCTTTTTTGTGTTCCCTCTTGACTACATTGTTTGCTTGGTATCGTTGCTTCAATTTTTGTTCTCTTGTACTGGTTCATAGCTGAACAACCAATCAGAGTGCTCTCTCTGATCGTCACAAATTCTACATGCTAAATTGGGCAAACTTTCTCTCACCTGGGCTTGATGTGAGGCAACATGTGGAACACACCAAACCAACCTGCCTTATAGATGCTCATTGACACTGATGGCCCTATGGCTGACAGTGAGCCGACTTGTGATAACATTTTGTCTGATTTCATTTTACCTGGTTTCTTTAAAGCCAACGCTTTAGAAGCTAAAGACCTTTAGTCTGATGTGTAATGCCATTTTGAGCAACGGCTGAAGCTTTTCAGTTTGAGGCGTGATGCCTTTTAGTCAAATGGATGCGGATTGAGGATGTTTGAAAATGCACACCCTACAACTTTTTTATTCCTGCCTCTTTTTAAGAGTGTTTTATTTGTCTGTTTTCATTATAAAATAAGTAACATTGCATATGAACATTTACTGAATTCCTTAAAAAATATTTAAAGACAAAGTAAACCCACAAAGTAAAAAAAAAAATCCTTCATTTACAAGTGACATTAATGACCTCTTAAGCACAACAGAAGAAAGTGCTGTGACACATTCTAAGGGGTTTATGTTTAAACCTGATGAGGCCTGTTTATAGATCTGTTTCAGACCACTAGGATCTACTCCCTGTTTACGTTTCTTTCTAGCTCTAAATGTGTTTTATAGTGGAATCTTTTTGGATCTCACATTTCATCTGATCTCCAGCCAAGACTGCAAGAAAGTGGCACAACTGTGACTTTGAACAGGCACAGCCAGTCATTCTAAGGATAGATGTTCCATCTGATCAGAATGTGACATTTAGAGGTCATTAATACCACAAGAACTAGCCAGCTCTAGAAGACCACTCTCCAATGACACTCTTGAGTAAGTGTGGCTGCTGAGGATAGCTTTCACAATCTTCACACTGGTCATTCAAGGCATTGCAAAGGAAAGGAAAGAGCAAGAGGCATCACAGGAAAAGAACAGTTGAAAAACAATCGCTCTATAATGCCTTTCAATTGCACCGAGAGTGAGTGAAATGCCTTATTTAAATGTTTACGCTGAGTTTATGCATGTTTGTGTGTGTGTGTGCGTGTGTGTTATGAAGATGGGGTGAGTGGTCTAACTGCATCTACTCTTCTTACTCCATGAGAGGCTTCTTTGTTTGTTTGTTTGTTTGTTTGTTTGTTTGTTTTTTTTGTGAAGGCTGTTTTGCTGAGAGCATTTAAACTACTGTATTAAAAAGTGTTTGATTGATTATTGCAATGTATTGCTGTTAAGCTTTTTCTCCTTTTGAGACCGAATTTCTGAATTAATTTTCTCCTAGAGCTTTCAAGCACTGACCACTAAAGTCATGATGTCAATGGTTTTCAAATCAGACAATCAAAATGATTAAATATCCCACATGCTCAATGAGGGCAACAAAACTTTCAAACATAGACTCTTGCAGAGTATTTAACTTGTGTGTTTTACAGTAAGAGGCTTCCGCTTTCAATGGTGAGATAGAGGTATTTAAGAATTTAGCAGCAAAACATTTCATATCTGACTAATACTGTAAACAGAAATGTCAAATGAGCAAATGTAATACTCTGCAATGCTAGTTATTCTACAAATGTATCACATTCCACCATTCTAAATCATTCATTCATTTTATTATGACTCGTTTGAACGATTGACTATACTGAATATGAAAAATAGAATTAACCTCTTTGCATGTATGCAGTGGGCACACATTCACTCATATTCATGTCTATCCCCCATTTCTGTACTGACAGATAGCTAGATAGATTAAGGCCTGAGGGTCTTTAACTGACTTACAGGTTACTGTAGCTTCTGTGAGCAGTGAAGCTCCGCCCTCTTTGATTTAACTGGCTGCACTTCGACACTGACGAGCACTGTAGAGCAGAAGTCATTTTCAAAACCCTTTTCTCATCCTAATATCAAACATACACATGTCCAGAGCAAAATAAAATATATTAATAATAATAATAATACTTTTTGATGTGGTTGTTGCTCCACCACATATTCTTCCATTGTGTGAGAAAATAGATGTTTGACGTTACAGCGTTAAAAGGACTGTCATATGCTTGTCTCACGCCAATTGAAGGAGAGTTAGCAGCCCTGGTTAACATAGTAGAAACAGGCTAGTATCATGGTAGTTCATAACAGCAACATGCTAAAACAGGCTTTCATGTGTAAAACCTTGGGGGGAAAATTAACTAACAGCATGCTAGTTCATGCCAACCTAGTGTAAAAGAAAATGTCAGCAACACAGTAAATGTTAAAAAATGCTACATTGTTTGAGAAATTAAATGTTTGGCATTACAGCGTAAGAAGACAATCAATTGCATGTCTCACACCGAATGAGGGAGAGTTAGCAGCCCTGGTTAACATTGTAGAAACAGGCTAGCATCATGCTTGTTAATAACAGCAAGATGCTAAAACAGGCGATCATGTGCTAAAACCTGGAAAAAATGTACTTGCAGCATGCTAGTTCATGCTAGCCTAATGTAAAAGAAAATGTCAGCAACACTGTAAATGTTAAAAATGCTCTGTTGTGTGAGAAAATAGATGTTTTGCATTACAGCGTAAAAGGACTGTCAATTGCATGTTTCAGACCGATTGAGGGAGAGTTAGCAGCCCTGGTTAACATGATAGAAATAGGTTAGCATTGTGGTAATTCATAACAGCAACATGCTAAAAAGGGCTAAAACATGTGCTAAAACTTGGGGGGGAAATAGCAGCATGCTAATTTATGCTAGCCTAGTGTGAAAGAAAATGTCAGCAACATCGTTGTGGGTGAGGAATGATCGAACACCCAAAAAGGAGGGAGAGCAAGCGGAGACAGCGGCGGCTGGTCTGTGGCCCAATCATAAAAAACCAGTAACACCTGTATTTTCTAGTGATTAGGTCGGAGAGACACCTTCATTAGGGGAGGAGAAGGAACAGTCGAGAGAGAGAGGAGAGCCTGACAACACACACATGCACACAAGTGCCCAGCACATAAAAATTAATAAAAATGTGTGCTTACCTGATATCGCCGACCCTTTCTTCTTCTTCTTCCAACAAAACGAACTTTACTACAATCAAAAATGTTAAAATGCTAGCATTAGATGTTAATTCCTTAAAATGTCACACACAATGTGACTATTCATGCTAGCAAAGTTTTAAAGGATACTAGCAAAATACTAAACGTGTTAAAAACATGCTAGCAGCTTGCTAATAAATGCTGACAACATTTTCCATGTGGTAAAACATGCTAAATAAATGCAAAAGGATTACCATCTTGCAAGCACACAGACATAGCTAAATGTGTGCTTGCTTGCTTGAATAAAATTGATGCTAGAAACATGTTAAAACATGTTAGGTACATGCAAGTAATATGCTGATGTTAAATAATTGTAGATGCTAGAAACATGGTATACTTTTCTACTGTTGAAGACAGAATTATTAGACATTTAAAGGCTTAACTAGGTTAATTATGTTAACTAAGCAAGTTATTGTATAACAATGGTTTGTTCTGTAGACTATCGGGAAAAAAATTGTTTAAAGGGGCTAATAATTTTGTCCTAAAAATGGTGTTTAAAAAAATTAATAACTGTTTTTATTCTAGCCGAAATAAAATAAATAAGACTTTCTCCAGAAGAAAAAATATTATCAGACATGCTGTGAAAATTTCCTTGCTGTGTGTGTGTATGTATATATATATATATATATACACACACACACACACACAAACACACACACACACACAGTACATATAAATACACACTCCTGTTTTATCACAGTATTTAGGCTACTTTAAATTCATAAACAAATAAACAAACACCAATGAATGAACGAACAATTAACTATTCTAAAAAAACATCATTAGACACTGTGAGCAAATATAATCACCTGGCTGATGTTGCTGATAGTCAGCTTGCAAGGGATTTGTGTGTATCATTTATTATAACATAATGTGTTAATGATAAGCATGTGCACATTTTCCACAAATGAGTGAGAGATCCGACATTTGACGTGTGTCTGAAATTTGACATGTGATGATCCATGAGTGCTCGCAGTCACTGCTATGACCCCTACTACTGTGCAAATGCCATCGACCATTACCCCCATTACTAACACAAGCCCACACGTCCCACAGCACCTCTAGCATGAAAATGTCAAGCTGTCACAACACATTTCCTGTATTTATAAAGCAGACAAGCAAGTGACATGAACAAGTCAACCATGCAATTTTTAAATTATTAATTATTATTTTCATGATTTAATAATATTTAATAATCATATTTTAATCTTGAAATATATAAAACAAAATAAAAAAGAATAATTGATTTGTAAGATGCTAACCAATTATAACCGGTATAAATGTCTTTGTGTTTTTAGGTTCTTCGTTGCAGGTAGCACATGGTCACCTGAGTTCTCCTCCGTCCCAGCCTCCTCTGAGCTCCATGGTGTCGCACCATCACCCATCCATCATCAACGGTCTGGGGTCTCCATACTCAGTCATCACCTCCTCCTCCCTGGGCTCGCCTTCGGCCTCTATGCCCACCACTTCCAACATGGGCTATGGAGCACTCAACAGTCCACAGGTACAGTAGAAAAACATCTACTACACACAACACAGACATAACAGCTCACTTCCATAAACACCAACACAATCTAGCAGAGGCAGCACAAATCAAATCAATATGTTTATATAGAGTCAGCTTCTGTTTCGAATACAGTCTCTCTTGTCAGCGGCTATATAACAGCTTGTCAAGTGCAAAATGGGTTAGGACTAGAGCCGTACAGTATGATGATATATATTTCATGAAGGAGCATTAAATAATGCCATAAATAAACCCCAGAGTTACTGGAGTGAAGTGTACTAAAGACATTCATTTCATCATCTGCACAGTTTGCAGGTACTAATTTTTATAACACCGGCTCACACGTGCACATAGAATTTTTGAAATTGAGAAAAAGCGCAGACACTCGTGAGGATGATTCTGTGCAGTGCAAAATTGTATATTTTGGGTTTAAAGTGACAGTCACATTAGTAAGATTAATTAGAATTTTTGCAAGCCAAAAAACCCATTGTCTATCAGTAGCTACAGTGCTCAGCAAAAATGAGTACACCCCATTTTGAAAATCATTATTTGTATCCATTTCTCAGTGAATATAGGCAATGTATTTTGGTGCATTTAAACAAAATAGATTCATTAAACACCTAATCATTAAAATAATATTTTAGTCACCAAACGTGTTTAGAAATTGAATAATAATACAATTAAATTCAAACAAAATCCACCTCAAACCAACAAAATTTCAACTCAATTTTTCATAATGTTTTTGCTTCTCTTAATTTTTCCTCTTTTTAAATTTGTATATAATATTTTTCTATAACATATAAAATTGATTGGACTAATTTTTGGACCCTTATCGTAAGTTATTTTGTTAGACAAGCTTCAGATTTGGCTTTAGTACTGACTAATCTTATCAAATCATTGATTCATTAATTTTCTTGTCGGTTTAGTCCCTTCATTAATCTGGGGTCGCCACAGCGGAATGAACCGCCAACTTATCCAGCAAGTTTTCACGCAGCGGATGCCCTTCCAGCCGCAACCCATCTCTGGGAAACATCCACACACACACTTATACACTACGGACAATTTAGCCTACCCAATTCACCTGTACCGCATGTCTTTGGACTGTGGGGGAAACCAGAGCACATGCAAGGGAGAACATGCAAACTCTACAGAGAAACGCCAACTGAGCCGAGGTTCGAACCATAGACCTTCTTGCTGCGAGGCGACAGCACTACCTACTGCGCCACTGCCTCGCCCCACTAATCTAATTTATAAGCACAAATATAATATTGTATAGCTTACTATTAAAATTATGAATTTAAAAAATAGAATTGTGAGGGGTGTACTGATATGCTGAGCACTGTATGTATGAAGCACAGCCTACACAGAAAGAATTATTATATTATTACAAAAAAAAGGTTTTCCCAGAGATGGGTTGTGGCTGGAAGGGCATCCGCTGCGTAAAATCTAAGATAAGTTGATAAGTTGGCGGTTCATTCCGCTGTGGCGACCCCGGATTAATAAAGGGACTAAGCCGACAAGAAAATGAATGAATGAATAAAAAAGGTTATTGTTAGTCGGCACAACAAATTAGAATGGCCAGTTTCAACATGATTGGCATCTGCATGACAAACCTTTTCTCCCTCAAACCAAATGTAAATGTCAATTTAATAAAATCTTGTCAGCAGTGACATCCTAGCGGGCAGTGCATTGACATATAGCACCATTGTGCTCTGGGCATACTGAGTTCGAGTCCTAGCTTATGGACCTTCCCGATCCCAACCACCAACCACCAACCCCCCACCCCCTCTTGTCTTTCTCCAACTTCACTACTTTCCTTCAAAACTGTTGAACAAAAACACTTTGAAACAAGGCATGGCCTGTAAACCATATAGAAATCTGATGAATGGCAATTTATATAATGTAATGTAATGTGTGTATTTATATACCGCATATATCCTATCCGGCCATACACCCAAATCACAATCATGAGGGGGGTCTCTCCACACCACCACCAGTGTGCAGCATCCACTTGGATGATGTGACGGCAGCCACAGGACAACGGCGGCCGTGCGCTCACCACAAACCAGCTTTAGTGGAGAGACAGTAATAGGGACAATTCAGTGGATGGGGATGATTGGGAGGCCATGAAGGGTAAGGAGCAATGGAGGGAATTTGGCCAGGACAGGGGGTTACACCTCTATTCTAGGTCAGGATGTCAGTTCAACGTCTTATTTGAAAGACAGCACCCACTGATAGTATAGTGTCCCCTTCACTGTACTGGGGCATTAGGACTCACACAGACCACAGGTTGAGGACCCCCTGCTGGCCTCACTAACACCACTTCCAACTGCAACCTAGTTTTCCCATGTGGTCTCCCATCTAGGTACTGACCAGGCTCACCCCTGCTTAGCTTCAAGTGAGTAACTAGTCTTGGGCTGCAGGGTGATATGGCTGCGGCATAAATCTCACATGTGACAGACAAGTTCATGTTTGGATTTCACAGATCTAAAAATTGTCATCTATTTATTTACATATTTTTCAAAGTATGGCACAAATATCCATTTGCATGTATTTTTAACCATTAAAAATACAAATGTGTACATATGTTCAGTGTAAAAAATGCTGGCTTATCCCCATTGCAATAGAGAAATGCTGGGAAATATCTGTAGACTGATGACATTTCATGCCATTCAGCCTTATAATCTTACAAAGTGAGCAAAACCACCTGTTTTGTCATAAATTTAATCATTACGCTAGAGAATTATTCAAATACTAGCTCTAATGTGTCGTTGGTGAAGTAGCAACGGCTTCTGCTGTTCTGAAATCAGCTGCAGATGTGAATGAATGGCGGAATAAAGTAGTTTCTCAAAAGGGTTTTTAGACTCTCCGTGTTTGATTTTCTGTTTTATATACACAATTATGCTGTCAAACTGTTGTATAAATGCAATATCACACTCGAGCAGTTTGATAATACCATCACTCGTGCGATATGGCTGTATATCGTCACTGGTGGGACACTAAGGCACTCGGCACATGCCTTCCACTAGAACGATATCGCTATATCGCACCACCACAACCATATAGATGTATTTGTTTGTATTATTAGAACACTTAACAAAAATACATATTTTTAAATGAGATCTTACAAAAAAGAAAAAAATTCTAAATTGTATAAAAAGTTACTATTTAATTATATATATAAATATATATATATATATATATATATATATATATATATATATATATATATATATACACACACACACACACGCACATTTTTATTATTATTATTTTTTTATGAAAGGTTCTATATAACTGGAGTATGTATTTATACTGTGTGCATGTATGCGTGTGTTCATATGGCCATATATTAGATTTCTGTATATATCTGTTGGCATTCTGTATTATTTTTGATAGATTGAATTGTTTTAACTCATTTAGTTTTAATTGTGGATATACAGCACGTTAAGCTAAATGAAAATGAGGAACATGTCCTATGCCCAAAGCTTAAGCAAAAGAAGCATTGATTTTAATTAACGAAAATGATTCAGGGTTAATGCGTTTAGTTTTAGTTAACAACATCTAGTTTTAGTTTTAGTTAATATAACGGACAGTACAGTTTTTTACAGTCAAAAACATTGAAAACATTTCACTCTTAACATCAGTGATAACAAACATCACATTCAATGCTAAAAGCACAGTGCATGAGGGAATACAAATCCTCTGCTAAAGAACGCAGCAGTTTTAATAACCACAACCTTTTCTCTGCTCTGCATCATTTGTGCTATTTCATGGCAGAGACAGCAAGACACCGGGCTTCCAATCAGAGAAACTCAGAATGCCGAATGCTCTTTTAATGCATCTCTCCTTTCCTCTGCAGGGCCTCCCTCCAGCCCGAGGGAGAACAGCCCATTCAGTTTGGTCTAGCCTAAAAAGAGCTAATGTAGCGTGACGGACAGCCCCAGTATAACCTTGGCTCACATGGAGAGAGATATCATTGCGTCGATGTTGCGCTACATCAGGCCCGATATGCAAGCCTTCAAGAAAGCTATAGAAACCTGCCATACTATTAGCTGTAAATAGAAGAACTGCCCTCTGAATAATGTATGCGCTATATGTGCGCTATAGGCTGCAGATTAAAGCCAGGGTTGGTGATGGAGGCTGATGTGTATCACCTTTTCAGCATCTTTCTGCCTCACTGAACTCCCCACCGTTTCTGGATGAGGCGCTCATAAAATGAACATGTGAGTGTGAACACATTTGTGTGTCTCTGTTTGAAGAAACATAATGAACAATTCTGGCTGTTCAAACACAAAACGTTGACTCTAAACAGGCACTGCTTGCTTTATAATGCGTGTTCTTAGCTGTGGTACATATGCATGTTTATGTAAGTAAAATAAATTGTCATTTTAATAAAACTTTTTTATTATTTACTCAACTCACTTGGGCAGCATGGACTGCTGGATGTCACCAAAGCACACAGAAGTATTTTTGTTTTTTAAAGGAGGTACATGGGATTTTAGGTGTATTAAAAATAATATATATACAATACCGGTCAAAAGTTTGGAGTCAGTATGATTTTTAAATGTTTTAAAATAAGCTTTTGCTCAACAAGGCTGCATTTATTTAATCAAAAATACAGTACAAATTGTACAATTGTGAAATGTTTTTGCACTTTAAAATAAATGTTCAAAAGTAGCTTATAATTTAATTTGTATTCCAGTGATATTAAAGATTAATTTTCCGCTCTATTACTCCACTCTACTGAGTCACATGATCCTTCAGAAGTCACTCTAATTAATTATAATAATAGTAACGATAATAATAATAATAATAATAATTATTATTATTATCATTTATGGTAATAGTGATAAAAGCAACAATGACTGGTGTAATAATTTCATTTGAAACTACATGCAAAAAATAAAAAATACTTATTAAAAAAGTATTTAACGGTTTAACATTTTTTTACATTTAAAAAATGCTGCCTTCATGAAGAGATAATTTTATTTAAATTATTAAATAAAATTAATAATTCAAAAAGTGTGTGTGTGTGTGTATAAATACACACACACACACACTTTTTTGATTATTAATTTTTATATATATATATATATATATATATATATAGTAAAAATTAATAATCAAAAAAGTGTGTGTGACTGACATAAAGCAGTTTGTTGCTAGAAGGGATAAAGCTGTGGCCGGAAGTTACCAAAATTATTTATATTATTTATTACATTCTGCAAATTCTTATTGTATTTTACTAATGTCTACCCCCACCACTATCCTAAACCTAAACAGTAATTCTATCAAGTCTTATTTATAGTGTTTATTAATATAAATATAAAATGGTGGTATACACACACACATACACACACTTTTTTCTGCTTCCTCACAGATGACCTCTCTGAACACTTTTGGCCTGTAGCACAGATTGTTTTCTGTGAGGGCTGGGTTAAGGGGTAGGTTTGGGTGAAGTGGACAGTATATACAGTCTGCATACAGTATATGTACACTATATGGTAAATCCTCATAGAACAGTAAAATACTTTGTGTGTGTGTGTGTGTGTGTGTGTGTGTGTGTGTGTGTGTGTGTGTGTGTGTGTGTGTGTGTGTGTGTGTGTGTGTATGTGTGTGTGTGTGTGTGTGTGTGTACATTTTTGTGACACAATTTGTGTGTGTGTGAAATTTAGGCTATTTGTTCCATGTTTCACGCAGCAGATGCCCTTGCAGCTGCAACCCATCACTGGGAAACATCCATACACTCCATACACTCATTCACACACATGCACTATGGACAATTTAGCTTACCCAATTTACCTGTACTGCATGTCTTTGAAACCGGAGCACCCGGACGAAACCCACGAGAACGCGGGGAGAGCATGCAAACTCCACACAGAAATGCCAACTGGCCCAGTCAAGACTCGAACCGGTGACCTTCTTGCTGTAAGGCGACAGCACTACCTACTGCACCACCGCATCGCGAATCTTTATTACATTATTTATTCATTCATTTTCTTGTCGGCTTAGTCCCTTTTATTACTCCGGGGTCGCCAGAGCGGAATGAACCGCCAACTTATCTAGCAAGTTTTTACGCAGTAGATGCCCTTCCAGCCGCAACCCATCTCTGGGAATATATTATATTATATTATAATATATTATATTATATTATATTATATTATATTATATTATATTATATTATATTATATATTTTTTTCCCCATTTTTATTTATTTTAATCTTTTTATTTGATTTGGAAAGGTTAAGCAACCTCAAATGTTGTTGAATTTGTTTAAAAAAATCAATAAATGTGTGAATTGCTAAGTTTTGGGAAAGGCCAAATTATATGAAATCAACATCAACTACTGCAGAGCGCCCAGATTCAAAAGCACATGCCGATTTGTGTTCAAAGTTCAGCCTAAAAAAGTATATCGAGCCGTTGGGGTTTAGTTGGTTTGTGTTCAGTTTCCATTGCTTGACCTTTCTATCTCTCGTCGGGCATGTGTATCTATTCCTATAACAACATCTGATCTGTTCTTAAGCACGGTCTTGTTTCACACATAAAATATGTCATGTCAAGTATGACTCTTTGCTGCCCTCTGTCGTGAAGATTTTACACACTCAGATTTAATTATAACCAATAAGCAAGGTAAGCGGCTGCTTATGGCCTCAGGAAATCGGAGAGCCCCCAAATAAATACCTAGAAGTATAAATTATACCTGTAAATTTTATATAACATCATTATCTATCATATTTTGTATAAAGAGAGTCTAAAAAAAAAAAGTTTAATGTTTATTACATCACACATACGCAAATGGGTCCCCTACCCTTAATCATAAAGTCCTGCAGTCAAATTAGGTAAAGATTCAGTTTTAAAAACGAAATAGTTTTGTTTAGTTTTCATTTTTAGTTGTGAATCCATTTTAAGAAAAGGAATCATTAAAAAAAGTTTTACAAGATGCTTTATATGTTATTATTTTTCATTAAGACAAAATGTATAACATCATTATTAAAATAAAAACAGCTAAATAAATCAATTAAAAAAATTAATTACAAAAGATGCATTTTAAAAATTTTGGGCCCCATGGCCGGAATTGCTTTGGGCCCCCAAATCACTAAATTCGTCCCTGCTGACCTCTGTAGTTGGAGAAAATGTCAGGTAATGACACAGGTTTAGAACAAGACGATGGTGAGCAAATGATGGCAGAGTTAAAATTTTTGGGTGAAGAATCCCTGTGAACTAATGATTTTTTTGTTGTAACATTCTGAATGTCATATTCACATTTTTATATTTCACAATTTCAATAATTTAAACGCCTTTTAATACTACAATAAGGCTCGAAGCACAGAGTGAACGCAAAACAAACATGTCACATGACCCAAAGAGGAAGTGCTCAGGTCACACTAGCAAATGTCTATTATATTTGGTATGGTGGAGGCTAAAAGGGTTATACTGATGGATTGGAAGTCCACTTTACCACCTACTTTTATTAATGGCTGACTGAAATGGTTGCTGTTCTTATAGCTTGAAAGAATTTGTTTTGTTAGGGCAGATGCTTCTAAAAAGTTTGAAACATTCTGGGGGCCTCTTCCTGGCTTATCTTTTTATTGTTGAAAGTAGGGCATTTATGATTACATACCAATTTTACTCTTACTATTCCACTCCAGTTTCAATGGTTTGAGTTTGACCAAGTAAAACTTGATGGTGTATATTATTTTCTCTATACTATGCTTGTTTATTATAATTATTATTAATTTACTTATCATTTTTGGGCGACACAGTGGCGTAGTGGGTAGCGCTGTCTACTCACAGCAAGAAGGTCGCTGATTCGAGCCTCGGCTGGGTCAGTTGGTGTTTCTGTGTGGAGTTTGCATGTTCAATCCGTGTTCGCGTGGGTTTCCTCTGAGTGCTCCGGTTTCCCCCACAGTCCAAAGACATGTGGTTTAGGTGAATTGGGTAAGGTAAATTGTCGTAGTGTATGTGTGTGAATAGGTGTGTATGGATGTTTCCCAGTGATGGGTTGCAGCTAAAAGGGCATCTGCTGCAAAAAACATATGCTGAATAAGTTGGCGGTTCATTCCACTGTGGTGACCCCAGATTAATAAAGGAAAAAGCCAAATGTTTATTGAATGATATTTGTTATTTTTATTATTATTTTTTGTAACTTCTTTTTTTTTGTTACAATTTGTATAAAAAGTATTATTATTTGTATAACTGTTTTTTGCTCTGTTTTGTGCTTATAAAAATAGAGAGGAAGTGCTCAGGAGACTGTTTGATTGTTTAGATGATAGTGAACCACACACTCTAAAACTGAAGCATGTTGTTGGCTTCTCTCTGCTTCCTCACAGATGAACTCTCTGAACAGTGTTAGCAGCTCAGAGGACATTAAACCTCCTCCAGGACTGGCAGGACTGGGCAGTTACCCTTGCGGCAGCCCCGGGTCCCTCTCCAAACACATCTGTGCCATTTGTGGAGACCGATCCTCAGGTAATACCCGCACACAGCTCCTACACACTACTACTGTACTTGTTCAGTCATGCTGACTGGCTCTCTGGCTGGAGACTAGCTGACTTTAACCTGTAAAACATATTTAAGAGACATTTTAATATCAGAGTTGAGTACAGGGTCTGTGGAAGAAGTACATTTAAATCTAAAATATGATGAGAGTAAGTTGAATAATAAATCCTGCAGGAAACATTACAGTTTATTAACAATTTACGCTGATGATGTGTGAATAAATCATATATGTGTGACCCTGGACCACAAAACCAGTCATGTGTCATTTTTTAATTGATGTATACATCACAGTAAAGATGAATAAATAATCTGTAGTTCTTAAAGATATGACAATATTTGACTAAGATACAGCTATTTGAAAATCTGAAATCTGAGTGTTCAAAATATCAATAAATTGAAAAAGCTGCTTTAAAGTTGCCCAAATTAAGTGCTCAGCAATGCATATTACTTGTTTAAATTTGGCAGAAAATGTACAAAATATCTTTAATTTTCCAGTGATTTTGACATTATAGGAAAAAACTATTATTTTAAATTATTTAAAATTACTTATTTTTACCAAAAAATCTATGATTAGACATCTATTAGAGGTCTAAAACTACACTCACCAGCCACTTTATTAGGTACACCTTACTTATACCAGGTTGGACCTGCTTTTTCCTTTTAATCCTGGCATAGACTCAACAAGGTACTGGAAATATTTCTCAGAGATTTTGGTCTATATTGACATGATAACATCACACAGTTGCTGCAGATTTGTCGGCTGCACATCCATGATGTCAAGCTCCCATTCCATTACATTCCAAAGGTGCTCTATTTGGTTGGGATCTGGTGACTGTGGAGGCCATTTGAGTACAGTGAACTCATTGTCATGTTCAAGAAACCAGTCTGAGATGATTCGTGCTTTATTACATGGTGCGTTATTCTGCTATAAGTAGCCATCTGAAGATGGGTCCACTGTGGTAATAAAGGAATGGACATGGTCATCAACAATACTTAGGTAGGCTGTGGTTTTGACACAATGCTCAATTGGTACTAATGGGCTCAAAGTGTGCCAAGAAAATATCCCTCACACCATTACACCCCCACCACCAGCCTGAACCATTGATACAAAGCAGGATGGATCCATGCTTTCATGTTGTTGATGCCAAATTCTGACCCTACCATCCGAATGCCACAGCAGAAATCGAGACTCATCAGACCATGCAACGTTTTTCTACTCTATTGTCCAATTTTGGTGAGTCTGTGCGAATTGTTGCCTCAGTTTACAGTTTTTAGCTGACAGGAGTGACACTCGGTGTGGTCTTCTGCTGCTGTAGCCTATCCGCCTTAAGGTTGGACATGTTGTGCGTTCAGAGATGCTCTTCTCCATACCTCAGTTGTAACCAGTGGTTATTTTTTAACGAGTGGGCTTTTGCACCCACAGGACTGACACTCACTGGATATTTTCTCTTTTTCTGATCATTCTCTGTAAATTCTAGAGATGGTTCTGCGTGAAAATCCCACCAACAACAACCAAATGACACCAACAACCATGCCACATTTAAAGTCATTTAAATCACCTTTTTTCCCCATTCTGATGCTCAGTTTGAACTGCAGCTAATCGTCTTGACCATGTCTACATGCCTAAATGCATTACGTTGCTGCCATGTGATGAGAAATTTCCATTAGCGAGCAGTTGAATAGGTGTAACTAATAAAGTGGCCAGTGAGTGTATATATTGAATATACATTCCAACCTACTAACTAGGAAACAGGTAGCAGTAAATTTCATTAAAAAATTACAAAGAAATGTCTAGAAACATACCGAGTCTGTAAACACGAAAATTGATGTTTCAGTACTTTTTTTTTGTAAAGTATAATCTTTTCTTTTATTGACAGTATTTATGGCAACTTTCTCTACCAACAGGGAAACATTATGGTGTTTACAGCTGTGAAGGATGCAAAGGCTTCTTCAAGAGAACCATCCGTAAAGACCTGACGTACACTTGTCGAGACAATAAGGACTGCCAGATAGACAAACGCCAGCGAAACCGCTGCCAGTACTGTCGCTATCAGAAGTGTCTCGCCATGGGCATGAAGAGAGAGGGTGAGTGTTCAGTTGATATATTCAATATTTTGATAACAACACAAGACAGTCGTCTGATTAGGAATCAATCATGCAGACAGAGATTTTTGATTACTTTTATCTGGCTAAAGTTACTCATAGTGAATGCAAATCAAATTAAGACTTGCATTATTATAGTGCAGCAGTACCATATATACATGTAAGTACCACACTTTTAATGTCTTTAAGATTATTTGCTGCATTTTTTGAAAGGATTCACACATGGTAATGGTTTATATCCACTGTTGTCTGTTTGCACATACAGTACTAAAGCAAAAGTTTTAGTCTATTTTTAATTTGCTGTTTTAGTGATGGTACTGTACATTATTAATGCCACTGTAAGTTTTTTTTTCATTTTCAAATATTTCCCAAGTGATGTGTCAAGTGATATTTTTCTTTTGGAGAAAGTCATATCTTTTAGCTCTTTTTTTGACTGTAGAAACTGCTAAGATCAGTAATATTAGCCTCATAATTATTTTTTTTATTGGCTAAACAACAAACCTCTGTTGATATGATATATCAATTAATCAAATATGCCTAATTAATCAAATTTACCGAGTTAACCTGATCAACAACCTAGTTAAATCTTATATCTTGCAACCTCACATGAGCAGATACATAAAGTATCTTGCAAAATAACTAGTAAAACACTATGCACTGTCTTCATGGCAAAATAAATGAGTTATTAGAATTTGGTTATTTAAACTTTTATGTTTAAAATGTGTTGGCAAAACACATCTCTCTGTTAAATAGCTCTTGGGAAATATTTAAAAATATTTAAAAAAGAATGATCAAAAATTTAGTTTTTAACAGTATCATTTTTTTTATTCAATTATTACTATAAATGCAGGTTGTATGTTGGTTTAATTAATAGGGTTATGATTTGTTTGTGTAAGACATGAGAAATACAGAGTTAGAGAAAGGTTAAGAATGAGCGCTTGCTGTCTGTAGTGAAACATGGTGGAGACTTGGTCTTGAGATTGGTTTGTGACTGTATTTCTTCCAGTACTGTTGACAAAGCTTGTCTGAATTGACTGGATTGCGAAGGCTGAAGTATACAGACATGTTTTAATCCATTATGCCATTCCTTCTAGACAGCACCTTGTTGGTAATGGCTTTATTTTTTAAGCATGAAAACAATCTTAAAAGTACTGCTAATGCAGTGAAATCATAATTGGAGTAAAGAAAAAGTTGATGAAATACAGACAGTCGTAAAATGGCCTCCACAGCGTCCAGACTTAAATATTACAGAGACAGTATGTGGTCACCTATGCAGAAAAAGGAAAGACAAAACAGCCTAAATCTTAGAAGTGAAGAAAGATTCATGGTATTACAAATCACATTATTTCAGAACATTTCAGGACGGCCGCCTTAAAAAGAAAATGTGCTTGTAGCCAAAGGGAGGTCACAACATAGCTTGAAACAGTGATTTTACCTGAAAATTGTGTTATTTTTTGGACATATTTCCCTTCATTTTTGTTTGTATCTTAAGAGATTGTGAATTGCAAACCGTATATTGATATGTGAAATCCTAGATGAAATGTCAAAGGCATTGAATGCATGTATTTATTCATTCATTTTCCTTTGGCTTAGTCCCTTATTTATCAGGGGTTACCACAGCAGAATAAACCAACCACCATTTCACCATCTGTTTTACGCAGAGGATGCCCTTTCCATCGCAACCCTGTACTGAAAAACACCCACACACTCACATTCAGCAACTTCCTTATCATAAAATTGCTCTGTTCAGAAAAAGGTAAATAATAAGGTTTGTGTGTTATTATAGTTGATTGTGTTGTGTGTGTGCAGCGGTCCAGGAGGAGAGGCAGCGCGGTCGGGAGAGGAGTGATAATGAAGTGGACTCCAGCAGCAGCTTCAATGAAGAGATGCCGGTGGAGAAGATCCTGGACGCTGAGCTGGCAGTGGAGCCCAAGACAGAAGCTTACATGGAGTCAAGCATGAGCAACTCGGTGAGTTTCTTCTTGAAAACACAATGCAGTGTCACTCGGACTGTTTTTCATCTGTTTAAACTGTGGAATGAATGTATAAAGAACGCTATAGAGAGACAGTTTTAAAGAATACTTTGGTTATTATATTCTTGAAATAATGCTATACAAGGTTGCATCTATAAATCATTTGTACTATTGAAATAAAGTGTGTCAGAAACAGAAACAAAAACAGGTGTAGAATCTAAGTGCAGTTTAATTGATGTATTGTGCAGTGAAAGTGACAAAAAACAAAGTACAAAGGAACAAAATGGCAAACAAACAAACAAGAAACTAAGACAGATTAACTCGAACTACACTTTAACAAGAGACAAGAACAAGATCAGGAACAACATACCAAGGACGACAACAACCAACTGACAAACAGAGGATAAATGACTGAATATATAGTCCAGGTAATCAACAGAGAACGGAGACAGCTGTGGTTGTAAATCAGTGTAAATGACAGACCTGGGCTGCGTCCAAAACCGCATACTTCCATACTATATAGTACGCTAAAATCAGTATGCGAGCCTAGTAGTATGTCCGAATTCATAGAATTTGAAAATCAGTATGCGAGAAGTACCCGGATGACTTACTACTTCCGGCGAGATTCTGGAGTGCGCATCCCATGCACGCTGCGCTATCCCATAATGCCCTGCGAGGGATTCATGAATGGAGGTGAGGCGACGCAACTGACGCAGGTAGGTCACGTGATTATGACAAAATGGCGGATGTAGTACGTCCAAACTTCATTCATACTTTTCACATTCATACTGTATAGAACGTACTTTTCTAACGGCCGAGTAGTACGTTTAAATTCAAATGCAGTACCTACTGAGTAGTAGGCGGTTTCGGACGCAGCCCGGGTGTGTGCGCGAAAGAATGTATGGAAATGTTGTTCTAAAGCCACTGTAGTTTGCTGGGGGTTGCTGGCGAACTACAGTGGCATCTGGTGGACAAACACAGTCATGACAGTTAAGTAGTTCAGCCTTACAGAAAAGAAACATTATATCTATATTTTTATAATTTAAGTTATTGTTATTTTTTATTTTATATTGTAATTTATTTATTTATTTTGCTACAATTTGTAATATCTGTTTAAATTTATTTAATATACAATAGAAGAACATTTTTTCATTATGATTATTTTAACGTGCACATATTTCTGTCTCGGATTCTCAGACAAATGACCCAGTGACCAACATCTGCCAGGCTGCAGATAAGCAGCTCTTCACGCTTGTTGAATGGGCGAAGAGGATCCCACACTTCTCTGACCTCCCTCTAGATGATCAGGTCATCTTGCTGCGAGCAGGTCTCTGTCCCTCTGCTCACATCTTTAATATGTGTGTTGAATGTGTATTCTCACTATGTGTGTGTGTATTTAGGTTGGAACGAGCTGCTTATTGCTTCATTCTCACATCGCTCAGTGACAGTTAAAGATGGGATTCTCTTGGCCACCGGCCTGCATGTTCATCGCAGCAGTGCTCACAGTGCCGGTGTGGGCTCTATATTTGACAGGTCAGGTCACAACACGGAAACCATCAAACCTTCACTATTAAGTGCAGGACACACCAAACTGATGTCAAAGAACTAGCAGTGACCAAAACTGACTCTGTTGTCGCCTTATGTTTGCTTCGTCTAGTCCTGTCTATGTTTGGTGAACACACCAAACTACTCATGTGTTGATCACAAATGAGCCAACTCTAAAAGCAGATGCTTAGGTTGAGGAGAACTTTATTTGGTTTGAACATCATGGAGTTAATCACATGGGAGGACAAACTAGGATCATACCATTATGTGCAGAAAAACAAGGAGGGGGGGCGAATTTTTCTTTTCTTTTGTAATGAAATAAAGATTTTTTTAATATAAAAACACAAAAAATGGCTTTTCCAAACATAAACCAAGTAAATGGCTAAATTGGGCTAAAACAGAAAGCTCCATGTGACACTAAATGGAGAGCCGTTTGGGAGCCTTACGAGCCAGTTCTCAACTTGTACCCAATGAAAGGTGATGTGTGGGTGGAACCCACAAAACTGCCCAGCAGTGGCTTGGTGTTTTTTCGGCACTCATACAGATTTTTTTTCTGTTTGTCTGCAAAAAAAAAAAAACTCTAATGATGCTAAGCTTAAAAGTATATATACAGTTATACTTTTGGATATACATCGATATTAATATGTAAATATATAAATGCTTATTATGCAGACGCTTCATATCTGAAGGTAGTAATTTGTATTGCACATACAATTTTTTTCAATAATTGATCCCTCTGCATTAGAATAAGTCATTTCATATGAGACCGTACACCAGAGATGTCCAAACTCAGTCCTGGAGGGCCGGTATCCTGCAGATTTTAGCTCCAACTTGCCTCAACACACCTGCAAGGATGTTTCTAGAAAGCCTAGTTAAAGCTTGAATAGCTAGCCCAGGTGTGTCTGATTGTGGTTGGAACCAAACTTTGCAGGACACTGACCAAACGCCTGCTGTACACGATAAGCATTCTAGCGTAAGTCATTTATTTTGTTATCGAATCTGACGTGTTAATCTAAAAACTGTCATTTGTGTTTGCAGGGTATTAACAGAGCTGGTATCTAAGATGAGGGAAATGCAATGGACAAGACGGAGCTGGGCTGTTTAAGAGCAATCGTCCTCTTCAACCCAGGTAAAGACCAGTCCTGAATCTTCATCTCTCAGAAACGTGCAGGCTCTATGTCTTTTCAATAAACATAATCAGATGCAATATTTTTTTATCAAAGGGCCATGAAACCCCCTCGTTTCAGCAGGGTGTTTTCACACCTATACTTTGGAAAAAGTCAGAAAAGTGGGCATGTCCAGCTTTGTTTAGGGGGGAGTGTCGGAGGAAGAAAAGAGGCTTGGTATGGGAGTGTCTATTTGGGCGAGCTGAGTTTCAGAGTCAAAACACACACACACACACAGGGGACAAAGTGACTGTGTTTACATGGACATCTGTAGTCGAATTATTTGCCAAATTACTAAATGGTGGACTTTAACTGCAGTTTGGCTCTTTCATTCAGGGAATTCATTCATGCCCCTCGCGACAAACGAGATATTTGATTTGAGGAACTGCTCTAAGTATGTATTTTTCATGCAATGTTTGATTTCCCTGAAACTTAGATGCACACGGCAGGTAGCGTCAGAAAGCCGCGTGTGTTATTCCGAGCACAAAATGCGGTGAAAATCATACACGAGGTAAAAGTTTGGTTGTAGTGCTAACATGTTTACACTCGGTGCAATAGTTAACTTAGTTCGATACGAACAAACTGAATAAACAAAGAGCACTGGTCGCTCACTTACCGAATCTGTAGAGACAGGACATCCACAGCAACTAGAGCTGCGTCTTTATTAAGAGGAGACTACAAGCGAATCCGGATCTCAGCGTTTGCAGATGAGAACAGCTCTCAGGTAAACAATAATCCTCCTTAGACACGTAAGTTAAGTTATTGTTGTCGAGCGTCGCGTACACTATTAATCCACACGTGTCTCCAGCTACGCTCTGACAGAGAGAAAATTAAAACAAAACTTAACTGCAGCAAACTATAAAAGCAACACTTCACGCTTGTTTTGCCAACACAACGTGGCGTCTCTGTCGTCTAAACACTGTGACAGTAATGAATATTAATGAAGTTGCACAATAGAGCGCGCTGATTGGTTTGAACCAAGCTTAACTCATGTATTAATGCATCACACTGTAAGACATAATAAGACACACTCTGGCACAGACGTCCAGTCTGCACGCTGGAATACAGGCTATTATGTCATGGCTGTGACGCAGCTTCAAAAATTCGTTTCAAACCGAAGTACGAATTTGCTTGAAATAACGCAAAAACAACCAATTCATACTTTTTAGTGAAATATAGGTGTCCTAATAGTGTTTTTAGCAGTGTGGGACACATATACCACTGTCAAAAGCTCAAAAAATGTGTTTTGGTGTTTCGTGACCCTTTAACACTAGATATACTGAGGCATTTTGGCAGTTTTTCATTTTTGTAATTTACTATGTTCATACAAAACCCATCCAAATATAGTACTATAGACTTTTTTTCTAAGTGCTTGGATCTTTTATTCTAACATTGTTGTTTTATTAAAATTACAAAACACAAAAGAGTTCTGAGTATGTATACCTTTAATGGCCATAATGGCCAAATTGACTGCATTCATTTCACTGTTCACTTTTTTAGCTATAACCATAATGATAATTATATTGACATTTACACCAGTGCCAAACAAACATTTCTGGTCAAAGTCTGTTCACTGTTGAACAATCAGAGACATAAATGTGCACATTAAAATACTGACTGGTCAAATGAAAAAGCTAGCTATTTTGTTTATTGATCTGTTAGAGCACCAATAAATCAAAAAAATGAACAACCGCAGATTATTTCATTCTCTCTGTAAAGCAGGGGTGGCCAATCCTGTTCCTGGAGATCTACCTTCCTGCAGATTTCAGTTGCAACCCATAATCAACACACCTGCCTGTAATTATCACATGGTGTTCAGGCCCTAATTAATTGGTTCAGGTGTGTTTGATATGGGTAGCAACTGAAATCTGCAGGAAGGTAGATCTCCAGGAACAGGATTGACCACCTCTGCTGTAAAGTATTCAAGTATTAAACATTTATATTAAGAAGAAATTTTGACTATTCTATATAATTCTTTAAAGGTTGTTTGGGCTAAATTGGGATGTTTTTTATTATTTGTTAATGAACTGTTACTCATCTTTTCATTAAACATTTCAATAATAAATTGATGTTTTAACTTT